GTTTTATTTTAAGCTTAGTCCCTTTATTAATCAGAGGTCGCCACAGCGGAATTTACCGCCAACTTATCCAGCATATGATTTAAACATATGCCCATCCAGCTGCAACCCAACACTGGGCAACACCCATACACTCTTGCATCCATACATATACACTACGGCCAATTTAGCTTATTTAATTCACCTATAGCGCATGTCTTTGGATTGTGGGGGAAACTGGAGCACCCAGAGAAAACCCACATGAACACGGGGAGAAACTCCACACAAAAATGCCAACTGACCCAGCTGGGGCTCGAACCAGCCACCTTCGTGTTGTGAGGCGATCGTTCTACCCACTGCCAACGTGACACCCCTAATATTGTTCCTATGTTTATATAATTAGATTTATTTAATAGATGGTTCTTGATCTAAATAGTTGATCATCGATTAATATTAATGATATAAATTATTAAAACCCACATGAACACGGGGAGAAACTCCACACAAAAATGCCAACTGACCCAGCTGGGGCTCGAACCAGCCACCTTCGTGTTGTGAGGCGATCGTTCTACCCACTGCCAACGTGACACCCCTAATATTGTTCCTATGTTTATATAATTAGATTTATTTATTAGATGGTTCTTGATCTAAATAGTTGATCATCGATTAATATTAATGATATAAATTATTATTAGTAGTAGTAGTAGTATGCCATAACATTTTGACTATTGACTATTTCTAAATCTAAATGGTTGATTATCCAATAATAATAATAATAATAATAATAATAATAATAATAATAATGATAATAATAATAATAATAATGCTTTATAAGCCATATCACCCTGCAACCCAATACTAATTACTTACTAAAGCTTATCAGGGCTGAGCCTGGTCAGTACCTGGATGGGAGACCACATGGGAAAACTAGGTTGTTGTTGGAAGTGGTGTTAGAGAGGCCAGCAGGGGTTGCTCACCCTTTGGTTTGTGTGAGTCCTAATGCCTCAGTACAATGAAGGGGACACAAAACTGTCAGTGAGCACCGTCTTTTGGATAAGACGTTAAATTGAGGTCCTGACTCTCTGTGGTCATTAAAAATCCCATGGCACTTTTTGTAGAGAATAGGGGTGTAATCTCGGTGCTCGGACTAAATTTTTGCTATCGGCCCAATCCCTGTCCTGTGGCTGCTGTCGCATCATTCAAGACAAGTGTATGCAGCACACTGGTGGTGGTGTGGAGAGACCCCCATCATGATTGTGAAGGGCTTTGTGTGTATGGCCATACATAATATATTCACTATATAAATACACATTACATTATACATTAACTTTTTTTGAATGTCAAAGAATACACATAAAAATAAAATAAAAAAAGGTGTACAACTGAAAGATAAACAATGTTAGGGGCAAATACAAATAAGTATAAACATATCAGCTATAGAATTAGGAAAATAGTATAAGAATGACACAACGAGGTAGTTTTAAGGACTTTGGAATTGTATTAAACAGTTGGTCTAATGTCTAATTAAAAAAAAACTGGTCTAATGTAAAATTACTGGTCTAATAATATGATTAATATCAACAACAACAATTATTTTTACATATAATATATTAAATAATAATTTATATACACATATATATGTTTATATATAAACTATATGTGGCCAACATATTTTAAACAACTTTAAAATATCTCTAATATGTGAATAACAAAAACAATAATAATAATTTTTGTTTGTTTGTTATACATTTGTTTTTTTTACAACAATAAAACAATGATTTGTTTAAGATTCAGATCAAGCATCAAGTATCATAAAAATTAAAAAGACTTCATAAAATGCATTATTGGAGGCTCATAATAGACTTATTCCCTCATCCTTATCTGAAACTCTCCAGTCAAAACAACACAACCGTTCATCACCTTTTCAGTTCAATCAAAGCCTTCACACAATAAACCAACTGAATGATTTCCTAATGAATGTCCTCATGTCAGAACTTCAGATGAAGTTTTTTTGCATGAAGTCCTTATCCGGCATGGATAAAAAAACACTGTCTAGCTCAGTGCTCTGGCGCAGACAATCACATCTGTCATGGAGGCTCTCTGGCAGTGTAATCTAATTTGAGTGTGTTGCTTGCTTCCCTCAAGCCAAGGATATACATGTCCAACCAAAATGTCAAACACTAGCAGAAGAGCCAGCAAACCCAGAGGCTCCAGGCCAATCTGCACATAATGAGGCTAGAAGACCCTAGCAGGGGTGTCAGCGCTAGCCCGACTTATGCTAACACTTCCCTCATGACTAATGCTAGTATAAAAAAAACTGTGAATAAGTGTCCAATCGGTCAAAGAGACAGGCTGAGATCCAATAAGATGCTTGGAGAAGAAGGCTCTATGCTGGTGATTCCTATATTGAATCACTCCCTGCAAACTGTGACAAGCAGAGAAAGGTTTATTGCTAATGTAAAAAAGACGATTTGTGAGGTTTTATTCGTTTTTCAAGCTTAAGTATGGTGGCAGAGAGAGCTCAACATGCTGAACTTAAGAAGATACATGCAAATAGAAAAAAACACCAGCAAATTAAAAAAACATCTTCATCAGTTTAATAACACATGCACTGCAAATCCTAACATTGCAAACCCAAATAGAAAAACCTGCTTTTTAATTTGAAGCGTGTTTTTCTATTTGTGTTTCTGCAGCGCACTTTGAACTTGTGTTTGCATTGTAAGAATTTGAAGATGTTTTCTTGATTTGCTGGTGTTAATTTCTATTTGCATGTGTTTTCTTAAATTGCAGTGCGTTAAAATTTCTCAGCCATCATATTTAAGTTCTACCGATAAATGTACTAATATTACCACCCTTTATTATCTCTGAAAACGTCCCTTATACAAATATACAGTATATATACAGTGCCTATAAAATCTTCATACCATATCAAAATCTACACCTTTTCCCATGTTACACCTTGCTTTTAAAAAGTTCTTCGTAATAAGGTTGTAGGAAGGCACAGGTTAGGAGAAAGCTACAAAATTTTTGTAAGGCTGGAAAAATATTTGGAATGTATTTTCAATTTAGGCTGTATGGCAAATGAAGTAATTATATACATAAACATATACACAGTTGAAGTCAGAATTATTAGCCCCCTGATTATTTTTTCCCTAATTTCTATTTAACAGAGAGAAGATTTTTACCAACATATTTCTACACATAATAGTTTTAATAACTTACTTCTGATAACTGATTCATTGTATCTTGTCATGATAACAATATATAATATTTAACTAGATATTTTTCAAGACACTTTTAAACAGCTTAGTGTCATTTAAAGGCTTAACTAGGTTAATTAGGTTAACTAGACAGGTTAGGGTTATTAGGCAAGTTATTGTATAAAAATGGTTCGTTCTGTAGACTATCGAAAAAAAAATGCTTAAAGGGGCTAATAATTTTGTCCTTAAAATGTTTTTTTACAACACAAAAACTAAAATAAAACCGAACAATAACCGAAAACAAATAAGACTTTCTCAAGAAGAAAATATATTATTAGACATAATGTGAAAATTTTCTTGCTCTATTAAACATCATTTGGGAAATATGTAAAAAAAAAAAAAAAAAAAAAAAGTTTAACTTCCGCATTTAACATTATATATACTTTATATATATAATGAAATGAAATAATTGTAAACTTCTTTTTAAAATTCAGCTAGCTACAAATAAATAGCATTTTTTTGTTTAACTTTATGTATTAATATAATAAATGTATATTTATTTAAGTAGCCTTTTTTTGTTTAATATTGTATAATAATTCTAAGTTAATAATGTCATTAGCAAAGATTAATAAACACAGGAACAAATGTGTTACTCATCACTAGCTAATGTTAATGGATAAAAGGTTCAGTAGGTGATCTGCCAAAATGCTAACTGTTAGCATAAAAGCTTTGAAAACACAGTCCAAAGTCACGCCTACAGAAATCATGAACGCGCACCTTAAAAATGAAAGCAGACAACTCAATAGATCATGTCGTTCACCAGTTAGACAACTTATAGTACTTTATAATACAGCAATTCTGTAAACTGTATTATATCTAGCACGATTTCAGTGTGGCAAGCAAAACTTGTCATAATGCACAATATTTCAGGCATGCAAAGATTGCTGGTCTCACTCTATCATGCAATTTTTCCTAAAGCAACTACTGCATGCTTAGTGGTTGGCCGGCTTATTACTAAATCACACTTACATGTTATTTCAGACCGAATATTTAAAGTAGCACGGTGAACAATATAGGGAGCACGTAACAGGTTATCATTGTTCAAAAAATGAATCAATGTGATATGAAAACCAACTTCAACTTTTGCTGAAAGATTTCAGTTGCTGAACAACACTTCTGGGCACATAACCCGTTCATAATACAGCAAAATCTATGTAAGCTTTCTGTGAGTAAAATAGATCTGCGCTAATGGGGTGCGCAGATGTACTAATCTACATTTGCTGATAGACAGTTTGGGCTACTTATCAGAATTATGGGAATTGTCGGCCCGACTTATTTTAACTGGATGAACATTTTTAGTCTCATGCCTTACCCAAAATATAAAAATACATAATAAAATTCATTTAGATCTTTTACTTTAATCAGTACTATTGGAATGTGAAGAGACTTTCAACCAGCACAAAAAAAAATTAAAAATGTTTCTGAGGACAATCACCTACTGCACCTTTAACTAATGTTAACTACTAAACAATAATGTAAAGTGTTAAAAAATAGTTGCAATATATGATAACTGTTGATTTGTAGTCTTTACCATGTTTATTTTTAAATATATTCTAAGCAATTTATTTGAACACAGTCTTCATTTCAGATGTAGTTCAGAGACAGTGTTATGCAGCAGACGATTAAAGAGATCATCTTTATTTTACAACCCATTTTTGTTTGCAGAGCATGAGTCAGCCAAATGAGCAAGCAGCAGTGGAAGATGAGAAACATTATGACAATGATGATGACAATTGCGCTTTTTTTCTTCTCATCTAGGCCTACCTTGGTGAGATATCGCATCCTTGCTGCATAAAGGCTCCGAGGGAAAACCACAGGCTGTTGAAGATCCCAAACTCATTGGTGTGCTCCGGTTGTTTCTCCTGCTTCTCCTCTCGCTGGTTCTGACTCTGGTTTGGCGACTGGTTTGGTTCTGGCGACGGTGGTTGGTTCTGGTTTTGCTGATCTGCTGTTTCCTCTTCATCATCTGCATGCCACTCGTATGGACTGAAGCGGCTGACCAGGAACAGCACCACACTCACACCAATATAAGCAAACACAATGCACATCCAGATCTCATAGGCCAGCGGGTCCAGGAACGAGAAGACGCCTGGTTTGGATTTGGTGGGTTTCTTGATCATGATGGAGATTCCTAAGCTCATGAAGGGCTTGGAGAAGTCAATGACCTCTTCTCTGACCAGTGTGATGGTGAGGGGGGCCACAGCAACATCTGCTTTCTACAACACAAAATTAACATTAATTAAGTGATAGTTCAACTTTAAAAAATGTGGAAAATGTAGTCAGGTGTTGTTCTAATGCTTTTTCAAATATTTTTCAAATTACCATCTGTGAAGGCCACAAATGCTCATTGTTGTCTATACAATGGCAGTGAATAGCAACCAGCACATTATATTTATTTATTACACGGCTGTCTGGAATAATTTATTCTGATTTATCAGTTATGACATTCCAAGGTATGTTACACTTGGAATAATATTAGGTATTAGGTATGTTACAATCTGATAACAACCACTGAAACAAATAACACAGACTCATTTGGGTACTTCATATAATCTTTACCATCACTGAATACATTCAAATCCATATTAATATGTTCATCAGTCACACCACTGTTTTTGACTGGTTATGTCAGTGGTCACCAACCTTTTTTAGATAAAGATCCCAACCTCAGCCTTGCTGAAAGGCAAGATCTACATTTGTCTCCATTTTATATTTGAATTCTAGCTTATGGGATTTAAAATTTGTAATTTAAAACTATGTAAAAAGCACTAGTTTAACATACTAAATGTTATTCATCCACCAGGATGATTCTACAATTCTATGAATAATAATAATAATAAGAATACTATGACAATAATAATAAACAAACTAAACTATTATAATATAATTCAGTAATTGTAACTGTGCTTTTTACCATAATTTGCAGTATCAATTCACAATATTATGACAATGAAAACTACTGTTATTATTGCTTGATATTATTGTGGGAGCTTACAGGGTGATCACACATCACATTGTTTGCTCATGTTAGCTAACACTTGCTAACTAACAATAACCAATGGAACCTTAATGTAAAGTGTTACCTTACCCAAAAGTATCCCAGAATAGTTTAACTTGTGTGCCATATTGTGAGTGTTTGTGAGGTATACAACAGTGTTAGGTTAAAAAAACAAACAAATCAAAATATGATTAACTTACATCAAAAAAGAAATGCATATCGTAATTTTCTCACCCCTCAAAAATGTCTTTATGTTTAATACACAAGTAAAAATTTTTGCTTCTGTATGAATTTGAAAGTAGATTATTTATATTAATACAATTTCTGATAGACAACATTTTATTTGATGAATAGATTTATATCAGGCTTTAATTCACATACATTGATCAGTGAACAAAGTTTTCTTTGCTTAACCCTTTCAAATGTACACTCCGAGTTGGTTTAACTCAAATTTAGGTAAATAATGTACAACCATTATTTAAAAATTTAAAATTAACATTAAAATAAGTTAAATTTGACCATGTGTTTGGGTTTTTCTAGATGTTCCCCAAATTGACCTTGTTTTCACCTATTGATCCCTCCCAGGGAGTCAGATTGACAATTGGTCTGACCAATCATACCACTGATATTATGGCAAAAAAAAAAAAAAAAAAAAAAACTAAACTAAAATGATTCAATTTTTCTTTGCAGAGTGTGAGAACTGACAGTAGAGGTGGTTAGCTAAAACAGAAGCACAGAATTTAAAAAAAATCTTCATTTGTTTTGTGAAGATGAGAAGACTTGGAACGGCACAGGGGTGAGTAAATGATGAAAGAACTTTTCATTTGTGGTGAACTAAATCTTTAATACTTAATTTAACAAAAATCCTGACCTTTAACATTGGACTTTGTGCATTTGTGAAAATATTAGTCCGGTAATTCACTGTGACTCAACCCTGAAAAGAAAAGTTGTGTGAATATCAGATTAATAGAAATGGGATACAAAGTATAACCCATGAACTTTCTTCAACTAAGTAAAAATATTTATTTGCCAAAAACTGCAAAACATCATACGTTGCTTAGTTTTGACTTGTAACCATTGACTTCCATAGTTTTGTTTTTCCCAATGGAAGATTTTCAGCTTTCTTTAAATACTTTTTTTTGTGTTCAGTAGAAGAAAGAAACACATAAGTGTTTGGAACAAGTAAAGCATGAGTAAATGAAAACAGGATTTTAACTTTAATTTAAGTTCAAACATGGGAAACATTGTAAGTTAAAGCAACAAAAACGTTCGAGGTTACTAAAGTAACCCTTCGTTCCCCGAGGAGGGGAACTCCAGCACTATAAGTGGATTTGATTGTAAAATCCACGCATAGGGAGGTTCGGTTCAGAAGCTACTCGTCTGAAAGAGTATTGAACGGGCCAATTAAGAATGAATTGGCAGCGCAAGCCTGCGCAGGTGTGCGGCATAAGCAATCAACTGAGTATAAAAGCTCACCTGGCGCCAGCAGACGATATCCTTTTTAAGCTGAAGAGACTTTTAACAGCTAAGGGACAGTCATTATGGCGACGGAGTATAGTGCTTCCGTTCCCCTCCTCGGGGAACGAAGGGTTACTTTAGTAACCTCGAACGTTCCCCTTCGGGGGGAACTCCAGCACTATAAGTGGATTTGATTGTAAAATCCACGCATTGGGAGCCCATTGAAAGCGCCATAATGACTGCACCTTACCAACACCCCCGATGAGGAGATAGTCAAGCAAGCGTGACGCACCCACATCATGGGGGGCGCGGTCCTCCAACGTGTCCCTGGCCCTAATTTATCCTACTTCAACAGAAGTTTTACGGATTTAGATATATTTTTTGGGAAGTCGTGAGCATCTAGATAATTCTAGGAAAATACGACAGTACGTTGGGAAGCGTGCAATCCCGATAGGGAGGACGCTGCGGAGGCCATCCGTTACCCAAGGGGGGATAGATGGCAGAATTTACATATGGACTAGCCCTAAAAAGGGGGAGTACGCATAGCAAAAGAGTGGTTAGCGGGGAGGGAAGACACGGGTCCGCCCAGGGGGGGGGGCTTAACCGTGGCGGAATAAGCATATGGGATCGCCTAGTGGGGATCACGCATAGCAGGCGCCTTTACCCAAAACGCGGGCTGACCAGTGGGCAGACCTACAACGTAGTGGGCCAGCAAGTGACTCCTCCGCTGAGTCAGTGCTGGGGGCCACGGAGGAATCTGCAGGGCTCACCTGATGGGAAACTTTACTGACAGATAAAAAGGCGCACGTATCTCCGTGTTAGGGAAAATGGCGCAGCAAGCGTGTTTCAACACCCTACCGAATTGTTTCCTCAATCACCAAGGGTTACCTAATACCCTTGAGGAAACCGGCTCCACTCGCAGATTGTAAAACCTTGCAAATGTGTTGGGTGTCACCCAGCCCGCAGCTCTACAGATGTCTGTTAGAGGGGCGCCGCGTGCGCGCGCTCGAGAGGATGCGAAGCTCCGAGTGGAGTGCGCACGCGCTCTCGGGGGACGCGGCTCATCTCGGCTCTGATAGTGAAAGAAAGGCATCCACAATCTAGTGGGAACTTATTTCGGTACGGCACTTCCCTGCTGCCGACCGCTATAACAGACGAAGAGCTGCTCAGATGATCTAAACTCTGAGTGCGGTCCGGATAATACGCAAAACGCGAACTGGACAATAAAGAAGGGCTGGGTCTGCCTCCTCCGAGGGCAGCGCTTGCAGGCTCACTACCTCGTATTAAAACGGAGTGGTAGGAACCTTGGGCACATATCGCGGGCGGCGTCTCAGGACGTGAGAGAAGCCAGCCCAATTATAGGCACGAGTCACTGACCGAAAAATGCCTCCGGGTCCCCGACCCTCTAATCGATATCAACGCGACCAGCAGAGCTGTCTTCAGGGACAGAAAGATACTGAGTCGAGGATCGAAGGGATCTGACGCGGCTTGTGTAGCGAGGGCGAGATCCTAAGAGGGCATGAGAGGGGGCGAGGTGGATTAATTCGCTTAACACCCCTGAGGAACCGGATGATGAGGTTATGCGTTCCCACGGTGCTGCCAGCCACCGCGTTATGAGAGCGGAGATGGCAGCCACGTAACCTTGAGTGTGGAGGGCGACAGCCTGCTCTCCAACTTCTCTCGGCGTAAAGAAAGCACAACGCTGATCTGGCAAATTACGGGGGTCTTCTCAGCGAGAGACACATCATTCAGTGAATAGACTCCACGTCAGGGCATAGGCGCGCTCGGGGAGGGGGCTCTAGCCTGAGTGACGGTATTAGCCACCGCAATCGGAGGTTACCTAAGTCTTCCTCGCGTCTAAAAATCTCCAAAGATCGGCGAGGGTGCCAGGTGGTGCCCTGTCCCTGAGAGAGTAGGTGCTCTCTCGAAGGGACTGCCAGGGGAGGGCTATCGCGAGGGAGAGCTCTGACATCCAGGTCCGGTTGAGCCAGAGGGGCGCAACCAGCAACCTGTTCCTCGTCCTCCCTGACCTTGCACAGTAACTGCGCGAGCAGGCTCACTGGGGGAAAACGCGTATTTGCGCGTGCCCCGAGGCCAGCTGTAAGCCAGTGCATCCGTGCCGAGAGCACTCGGTCAGGGAAAGAACAACTGGCAATGAGCGATCTCGGGGGAAGCAACAGATCGATCTGGGCTTCCCCGAATCGCGCCCATATCAGCTGAACAGACTCGGGGTGGAGTCTCCATTCTCCAGGACGCAAGGCTGCCGTGAGAGCGCATCGGCTGCACGGTTGAGCTTGCCTGAATATGAATGGCAAGCAGCGATTTCAGCCGCGGATGACTCCAGAGGAGCAGACGGCGGGCGAGCTGAGACATGCGGCGAGAGCGCATACCCCCTATACGGCTGATATACGCCACCGCCGCCGTACTGTCCGTCCTGACCAGCACGTGTTGCCGCTCCAGCACCGGAAAAAAACGGTGGAGAGCGAGGAACACTGCCAACAGCTCCAGGCGATATGCCAATGCAACTGGGTACCTTTCCACAGGTCCGCAGCCGCATGCCCGCAACGCACAGCCCCCCAGCCCGTGTTGGAAGCGTCTGCTGAAACGACAACAAGACTGGACGCCTGTTCTAGAGACACCCAGGCCTGTAGGAACGAGGGGTCGCTCCAAGGGCTGAGGGCGCGGCGACACAGCGCAGTAACAGAGACTCGGTGTGCGCGCGCGTGCCATGCGCGTCTGGGGACTCGATCGTGATCAGCC